TACTCCTACTCCTACTCCCCCCCCTACCCCTACTCCTACTCCTACTCCCCCCTCCTACTCCTCCCCTACCCCCCCCCTACCCCCCCCCCCCCCCCCCCCCCCCCTTACGTCTACTCCTACTCCCCCTACGTCTACTCCTACTCCCCCTACGTCTACTCCTACTCCTACCCATATCCACGCCTCCTACCCCTACCCCCCCTCCAACTCTTACCCCCGACCCCTACCCCCGACTCCTAACCTCTAACCCCCCTACCCCACTCCTACGTCTACTCCTACTCCCCCTACGTCTACTCCTACCTACTCCTACCCCCCCTAACCCCTAACCCCCCTACCCCACTCCTACCCCTACTCCTACTCCTACTCCTACTCAAACCCTAACCCTAACCCCTACTCCTACTCCTACTCCTACTCCCCCCTTCTCCTACCCCCCCTACCCCTAACCCCTAACCCCCCTACTCCTACTCCTACTCCTACTCCTACTCCTACTCCTACTCCTACTCCTACTCCTACTCCTACTCCTACCCCACTCCTACCCAAACCCCTACCCTAACCCCTACCCTAACCCCTACTCCTACTCCTACTCCTACTCCTACTCCCCCCTACTCCTACCCCTATCCACGCCTCCTACCCCAACCCCCGACCCCTACCCCCGACTCCTAACCTCTAACCCCCCTACCCCCTACCCCTACCCCTACTCCTACTCCCCCCCCTCCCCCTAACCCCTAACCCTCCTACACCTAACCCCTAACCCCCTTACCCCACTCCTACCCCCCCCCCCCCCCCCCCTACGCCTACTCCTACCCCTACCCCTACTCCTACTCCCCCAATGTCTACTCCTACCCCTATCCACGCCTCCTACCCCTACCCCCCTCCTACTCCTACTCCTACTCCTACTCCTACCCCCCCCCCCCCTATGTCTACTCCTACTCCTACTCCTACTCCTACTCCTACTCCTACTCCTACTCCTACTCCTAACCTAACCCCTACCCTAACCCTAACCCTAACCCTAACCCCTACTCCTACTCCTACTCCCCCCTACTCCTACCCCCCCTACCCCTAACCCCTAACCCCCCTACCCCACTCCTACCCCTACTCCTACCCCTACTCCTACCCCTACTCCTACTCCACTCCTACCCCACTCCTACCCAAACCCCTACCCTAACCCCTACCCTAACCCTACTCCTACTCCTACTCCTACTCCTACTCCTACTCCCCCCCTACTCCTACCCCCCTACCCCTAACCCTTAACCCCCCTAACCCCCCCTACCCCACTCCTACCCCCCCCCTACGTCTACTCCTAGCCCTACGTCTACTCCTACCCCAACTCATACTCCTACTACCCCTATCCACGCCTCCTACCCCTACCCCCTTCCTACTCCTACCCCCTACTCCTACTCTTACTCCTACTCCTACTCTAACCCACTCCTACCCTAACCCCTAACCCACTCCTACCCTAACCCCTAACCCCTACTCCCCCCCTACTCCTACTCCTACCCCCCCCCCTATGTCAACTCCTACTCCTACGTCTACTCCTACCCCTAACTCCTACTCCTACTCCTACTCCTACTCCTAACCTAACCCCTACCCTAACCCTAACCCTAACCCTAACCCCTACTCCTACTCCTACTCCCCCCTACTCCTACCCCCCCTACCCCTAACCCCTAACCCCCCTACCCCACTCCTACCCCTACTCCTACCCCTACTCCTACTCCTACTCCACTCCTACCCCACTCCTACCCAAACCCCTACCCTAACCCCTACCCTAACCCTACTCCTACTCCCCCCCCCCCTACTCCTACCCCCTACCCCTAACCCTTAACCCCCCCTAACCCCCCCTACCCCACTCCTACCCCCCCCCCCTACGTCTACTCCTAGCCCTACGTCTACTCCTACCCCAACTCATACTCCTACTACCCCTATCCACGCCTCCTACCCCTACCCCCTTCCTACTCCTACCCCCTACTCCTACTCTTACTCTTACTCCTACTCTAACCCACTCCTACCCTAACCCCTAACCCACTCCTACCCTAACCCCTACTCCCTACTCCCCCCCTACTCCTACTCCCCCCCCCCTATGTCTACTCCTACTCCTACGTCTACTCCTACCCCCCCCCCCCCCCACACACACGTCTACTCCTACTCCTACCCCTACTCCTACTCCTACTCCTACTCCTACCCCCCTACCCCTAACCCCTAACCCCCCTACCCCACTCCTACTCCCCCCCCCTACGTCTACTCCTACCCCTAATCCTACTCCACTCCTACCCTAACCCCTACTCCCCCCCCCCTACTCCTACTCCTACCCCCCCTATGTCTACTCCTACTCCTACGTCTACTCCTACCCCTAACCCTAACCCCTACTCCCCTCCTACTCCTACCCCTACTCCCCCCCTACTCCTACTCCTACCCCCCCCTATGTCTACTCCTACGTCTACTCCTACTCCCCCTATACTCCTACTCCTACCCCCCCCCCTATGTCCTACTCCCCCCCCTACTCCTACGTCTACTCCTACCCCTAACCCTAACCCCTACTCCCCTCCTACTCCTACCCCTACTCCCCCCCTACTCCTACTCCTACCCCCCCCTATGTCTACTCCTACTCCTACGTCTACTCCTACTCCCCCTATACTCCTACTCCTACCCCCCCCCCCCTATGTCCTACTCCTACTCCCCCCCTACCCCTAACCCCTAACCCCCCTACCCCACTCATACTCCTACCCCCCCCCCCCCCTACGTCTACTCCTACCCCCCCCCCCATACGTCTACTCCTACCCCAACTCATACTCCTACTCCCCCTACGTCTACTCCTACCCCTATCCACGCCTCCTACTCCTCCCCCCCCCCCCTACCCCTACCCCTACCCCTACTCCTACTCCTACTCCTACTCCTACTCCTACCCTAACCCCTACCCCTACTCCCCCCCCAACTCATACTCCTACTCCCCCTACGTCTACTCCTACCCCTATCCACGCCTCCTACTCCTCCCCCCCTACCCCTAACCCCTAACCCCCCTACCCCACTCCCACTACTACTGCCCCCCCCCCCCCATACGTCTCCTACCCCCCCCCCCCCCCCCCATACGTCTACTCCTACCCCAACTCATACTCCTACTCCCCCTACGTCTACTCCTACCCCTATCCACGCCTCCTACTCCTCCCCCCCCCCTACCCCTACTCCTACTCCTACTCCTACCCCTACTCCTACTCCTACTCCTACTCCTACTCCTACTCCTAACCCCTACCCCTACTCCCCCCCTACTCCTACTCCTACCCCCCCCCCCCCTATGTCTACTCCTACTCCTACGTCTACTCCTACCCCCCCCCCCCCACACGTCTACTCCTACCCCTACCCCTACCCCTACCCCTACCCCTACTCCTACCCTAACTCCTACCCCTACTCCTACTCCTACTCCTACTCCTACTCCTACTCCTACTCCTACTCCCCCCTACCCCTAACCCCTAACCCCCCTACCCCACTCCTACTCCCCCCCCCCTACGTCTACTCCTACCCCTACTCCTACTCCACTCCTACCCCAACCCCAACCCCTAACCCCTACTCCCCCTATGTCTACTCCTACTCCCCCTATGTCTACTCCTACTCCTACGTCTACTCCTACCCCTAACCCTAACCCCTACTCCCCCCCCTAACTCCCCCCCTACTCCTACCCCCTACTCCTACTCCTACCCCCCCCCCCCCCTATGTTTACTCCTACTCCTACGTCTACTCCTACTCCCCCCCTACTCCTACTCCTACCCCCCCCCCCCCCTATGTCCTACTCCTACTCCTACTCCTACTCCCCCCTACCCCTAACCCCTAACCCCCCTACCCCACTCCTACTCCTACCCCCCCCCTACGTCTACTTCTACCCCAACTCATACTCCTACTCCCCCTACGTCTACTCCTACTCCCCCTACGTCTACTCCTACCCCTACCCCCCTCCTACCCCTCCCCCCCCTACCCCTACCCCTACCCCTACTCCTACTCCTACTCCTACTCCTACTCCTACTCCTACTCCTACTCCTACTCCACTCCTACCCTAACCCCTACTCCCCCCCTACTCCTACTCCTACTCCTACTCCTACTCCTACTCCTACTCCTACTCCTACTCCTACTCCTACTCCTACTCCACACCTACCCCACTCCTACCCTAACCCCTACTCCCCCCCTACTCCTACTCCTACCCCCCCCCCCTATGTCTACTCCTACTCCTACGTCTACTCCCTACCCCCCCCCCCCCCCACACGTCTACCCCTACTCCTACCCCCCCTACCCCTAACCCCTAACCCCCCTACCCCACTCCTACTCCCCCCCCCCCCTACGTCTACTCCTACCCCACTCCTACCCCTAACCCCTACTCCCCCCCCCCTACTCCTACTCCTACCCCCCCTATTTCTACTCCTACTCCTACCCCCCCCCCCCCCCACACGTCTACTCCTACCCCTACCCCTACCCCTACCCCTACTCCTACCCTAACCCCTAACCCCTAACCCCTACCCCTACTCCCCCCCCCCTACTCCTACCCCCCACCCCTAACCCCCCTACCCCACTCCTACTCCTACCCCCCCCCCCCCCCCTACGTCTACTCCTACCCCTACTCATACTCCTACTCCCCCTACGTCTACTCCTACTCCTACCCCTATCCACGCCTCCTACCCCTACCCCCCTCTTACTCCCCCCCCCCCTACGCCTACTCCTACCCCTACTCATACTCCTACTCCCCCTACGTCTACTCCTACTACTACCATTATTATTATCATTTTTAAAAATCCAACCATCTGTAGAAAAATATAAGTTCCAAAATAGTCCTAATATTTATCGTTAATTTGGCAATTTTGCTTAAAAGACAAATTTCATGGAGCGAAAATTTAGAAAAACTTTTTTTTTTGCAGTGCACTGTATAGTGTATACAAGTTGTATAGTCTAAACTAACATAAAATTCATCCATCCTAACAAAGTACAGTACAGTTTCATTCAAGGGATAGATTTGACTTGAAAAATATTTATGACCGTGAGGCACCCGAAACCAAACTTTTAAGAGCAGGCATTTGGCTCTCCAGAATCTCTCTAATTCTATTCGATGCACAACTGTCTTCCTGCACAAAATAGAAAAGAAGAAAAAAAATAGTTTACAATCTAAACATTGAATTGGGCAGGCATTCAAAATAATCTTATACACATTTACAAATATATCAACCACTCCCAGAAATATCACATACCCATTTTAAAATAGTTAATGCAACATGTTCTTGTGAAATTCAGATTTATTTTCTAATTATTCAACAAAGACATTGGAAAAAGTTGCTCGAGAAACTTCAATTCCAAGTCTTTACTCACGTTTAAAACTTAACAGAAGACGGTTTAGAACAAAAGTTTGATTACTTTGATATCTTAGAGAAGAATGATCAAAATTCTGTGAGATCAACCATAATAACGTGTATAAATGAACAGTGCATGAAAAGAAACTACTCACGTCATCAGGAGTAGCTGATAGTGTCAAAAGAGTAACGGCAGCAGCTTGATAATCAACTATAATCTTGCAAGCTGTCTCGTCAAGCTTATCCTAACAAATAAAACATGTGAACCAAAATTAGGGAAAAGTTACAGAAGACGTTTTACAATATTTTATGGATATTTGAATTGTTTTACTAGTACCTTACAAACCCCCCATTAACTACTTTAGGTTCTCTAAGATATTATTCATTCAGATTTTGATAAAACATAAGTTAAACATATATTACTGCAAGCTTTCCAGTCCTAAAGAGTGTTCATTGTTCTTGCAGAATCGATGAGAACTATTTTTCCTTGGTTGACTAGTACTTAACAAACACACACTATTTGCTACTTTAGTTGCCTAAGATATTCATTCAGCTTTTGATAAAAAATACGTTAAATATATATACTTTTGGAAGCTTTTCAGTCCTAAAAAGTAATCATTATTCATGCAGAATCCATGAGAACTATTTTCCTTGATTGCCTGCTGTCAGATTATTGTCAAAACTAGTGCAAAAATGAGCCTAAAATCTATTGCCTGTGAAGTATTATGCTCTGATAAGTGTATAGGTGTTACAATTATCTCTCAACAAAATAAGTGCAAGAAAGCTGTTTTTACCACTATAAGATACGGTTAAGTGCCTGTGAACTATATTTGAGAATGTAAAAAAACCCTAGATATGGTTAAATGCAACATACAAGAATCATGACTAACACTTTTGCATTAAACAGCCATTCAAGTGTAACATGGAATAGATTATGCTCTGATAAAGTTTTTATGATCTATCTGAGATATTGAACAGCAAAACAAGTAAGAAACCACATATAATGTCCATATCTTTGTTAAATATCACCACCAAATCATATTTTAAATACAAGGGCAATGAGGCATCACTGTTTATCTCAGGGTTCAACAACGTTTTTCAGTACTTACTGTCAGTTGATATACAAATACTTGTTTTGATTTCGGCAATTACTATTATTTCAGTTGTCTTGATGCATAATTAAGCATATGGAAAGAACATACCGTCAATTGAGAAATAGCAACAGAAATGGCCCTTCCAGGGGCTTGTAGAGCTTTATGGTAAACCTGTTAATACAAATACATGTTAATGATGGGAATAAGAGTTTTTTTTTGTTGAGGTGAGGGGGAAGTAGCATCAAGTTACCTGGACATAGAGTAAAGACACGACTTTCGGCAGAAGTGATACAGGGTCAGTCTCAGCCGAAACTTGAGATGTCAATTCCTGATGATAACAGTGATAGAAGACACGGTTTAAGTTCATCCAAATTGCAGAATATCATGGCAAAAACAAACAAAAATTCCTTGATTCTACGTGTGACTCTAACCGTGATATTGTTGTTCAAAGACATAGATACGTTCGAAGAGCATTTACAAAAATGTTAACTAAACAAAGATAGCAAGCATGTGTAAATTTGTGCTTATATAGATGCCAGTTGGGAAGCAAATTTATCTTATTTAAAAGCTCTATTTTGGCCATGACACTGTTTACTTTGGAGGAAATATAATATCATGGAAAAGAAGCAAACAGTTTTCAAATCAAGTGCAAAAGTTGAGTATCAAATGATGGGTACTGAAGCCTATGAACTGCTGCTCTAACAATTTAAACAACTATGAATTGCAACCAATGAAACTAGTGTGGCAACCATGTTGCACTACATATATCTTGAAATCCTATTTTTCCTGAAACATATTGAGATTAATTGCCATGTTGCACCAGAGAAAATTCAAATGCAAGAGATCATAACAATATCCACATTATATTTGTCAACTTGCATACACTGAGGCCTTTAGAGGTCACCAGACCAGCTATATACATGACAAGCTATAATAAGTGATTTCCAGCTCCACGGAAAGTGTAAGAATATCTTAGATAATTAAGCTACGGTTTCACCTGTGTCGTAGAATCAATTAGGAGCAATCTTAGGAACTATTGTAGGATAGAAAACTGAATATCTTGAATCGTTGTAATTAACACTGACATACATGTATATAGGAGAGGATGTAAACAGAAAAATGGTCTAACAGTATATAAGGCCCAATAAGAGGGCATAGGGGGGCAGCAAGATTAGAGGAAAATAGATAAGTCATTGGCTAGGGAAAGGGTTGTCAGTGCATGTGGTATCAAGCCAGTTGTTCATTTGCATTGTTGTGGTAGGGTATTGTGTCTATTTTATTGGTGGAAGGAGCTGAGCTCCATCATTATTTAAGTGGAATTGGTCTGTCTTATAATAGTTGTAAACAAACTAATTCAGAAGTATTTCTTCTTGTCATTCTAAAGTTTTACCAAACTTATAGTTTCAGTACATACCTTACGATATGAATGTAGAAGTGTCCTTTCTAGTTTCTTGTCTAGCTTTTTCAAAGGCAGCCCGCTGGAAAAATTAATCACATGAGGTTTAACGTCAAGAGAGAAGCTTTGGTAAAAGCAACGCTATAAGTACTACTAACAAAAAAGACAAGTTATTACCTCTCTTCTGTCACAGCTCTGAATGAAGACATGAATGTTTCCACCCTCTATTGTATTGAATATTCAAATATTAGTTGCAGCATTCAAAAATCAAACAGAAAAATAAGTTTCAAGTTATAACAAGATATTTCCAGCCAACCAGCTGCAATTGTGAACTGATGAGTGATTGAGTGAACCTTATACAAATAGCCTTAACCATAATGTTTCAGAAATAAAAATGCTTACCTTTCCTTCCAATGCTTCTACAACAGCAAGAGCCTTATTTGAAAGAGCTCCTGGAAAACTCTTGGACTACAAAAGAAAATAACAATAGATGTAGTATTTGAAGTCATTTTATGTGTTCCACTAAAGAAGATAGTTTACAAATATCTAAGATTTGATATACTAAACGCATCAGAACAGAAAAGCATAACTTTCCAAGTAATGTAATATTCTTACTGTTGAAAACTTAATATAGCTATTGTTCCAGATTCAAAGTAGAATTAAACTTCACTGTATCATAGGATTCATTGCATATTAAGATTGGTAGTATCTTGTGAAATTATGTTTGCTTTGATTAAACTTCTTGTGAAATTTATTCATTCTGATTCTGACTATAAACATCATTATGCAGAGTATTAATTATCATTTCATATTTTCCTCTCAAGTCTTGCAATTGCAGCTCTATCTCCAGGACTAAACGAAATAGACTCAGAATTTGGAGATTCCTGCACTTCTACTCCGTTCTTTAATTTGTTCTGCTCATCCTGCAAAAGGATGAATCCATAGTGTTTTTAGATCTTATTACACCTCAAGAAATATCAACAGAATAATTGCTGTATATAATACCAAGTCATGAAGAAGCATGTCAACCATAGGAGCTGCTACTGTCCTTAGTAAATGCCTATGCAAAACAACCTGGGCATCAAAGATACATTAATTTATTCATGTTTCAACAATGAAAATAACATTTTCAAATTTCAATTAACTTGACTTACAGAAGTTGATTGATCATCTTCAAACAATTCTAAGGCTTTTTCATACAGTTGCATGTTTAAGAAAGACTGCCAAAAAACAAATCACACAAGGACGTGTTCAGATAAGTATCCAATGAGAGCATCTTTAGTGGGGTGAATAATAAGGAACTAAAATGGATTGATTAATTTGTATTTTGTGGGACCAAATTGCCAAATAGGATTTAAAGAATTTGCAATTGATCTATTCTTTTTTTACTTTAATGGTGGTTGTTTATAAATAACTCAAAGGTGACCCCACATATTTATATTTATTTATTTGTAATTATTTTTAACAGTGAACTCAACACTATAAGAATTTATTATCTTTCATCTCAATAATATAAAATTGTTATTTTTATGACAGATGAGATTTAGTTGCCATTGCTTCTATAGAGCATCCAAAATTATATATGATGCCATGTCATCTTTCTATAATGCCGGTTGTCTACAAGCAACGTAAACTATAACAAACGTTTGCCTTACTTTACCAGCATTAAAGATGCTCTAAGGAAAGATTAAATAAAGTACCAACATTGACACAGTGGACGAAGAAAGTACAAAAAGATACTACAGAGCAGTCACACCTCATCGAGTTTTTTCTGCAAATTATTAAGCAATTGTTTCATTCTTTCTGCATTGTCTTTAAACAATGCCTTCCTTTTCTCCATCCAAGTATTGATTATTGTGGGCCTTAACTTGTTAGCCAAAGGCCTAAGAATTGTTTCAGGATCATCAATACCTATCAATTAATAGCACATAATTTAAGAAATTGGATAAAATGCATATGCAGAAAGAGTATATCCAAAGTCATAATTAGAAGACCTTGTTCTTCAAAATCAGGAACCAAGGCTGTAATCTTCTCCATGATCCATTCTTCTGAGGGACTACTGAGATTATCCTCTTTCATTTTAAGTGATTCTTTCCTAGAGCCTTGCTTTGAATCTGATGTTTGTGAAGATGTGTCCTTACCCTTTCTCTGGCTTTTCTTAGATTTGGTAGAAGTATGCTCTTGGTTATCAGCACCACTTTCAGATTGATTTGCTAATGCATTTCCAGTGGCTTTCCCCTTTTTCTTCTTTGGCCCTTTATCAGCATGCTTGTTGGAGCCACTGTCACTTGCCATTTCACTGGACACACTCAACCTGCTTGAATCATACCCTGCTTTTACTTCATTGGCTATTGGTAAATCACCAGGTTTTACAGTGCCCAAAGACCTTGAAACAGCTAATGTCTCTAATTCTTTCACCGTACAATCGCAAATGTCCTAATAGATGGGGGACAGAAGCATTTAGACATTAGGAAACCAGTGATATAAAAAGAAGAAAAAAAGTTACAGATAGACATATTCTATTCAACAGTAACTTCATTCTTGGCTGTTGGCACTTAAGTACCAAAAGGGGGAAGGATAAAGAAGCCAAAATCTGGATGCAGTGAGGAAATACATTATAGGAAAGAATTCTTAAGCCCAGCAGGATGCACACACATTAATCACGCATCTAATACAACTGTTCTGTACAATACATGACACTGCAGTCATTTTATATCATCACTATTTTTTTGGAGTTCCCATGCCACGGTAGCTATGGAATGGTTAATTGGTGACCATGAAGTAATTTGATGTACCATTTGATTCAGCACCTCTGAATCTATTGCAAGCAAATTCAATATAACTAGCACAATTTTTTGTTCTCATTGACTATACTCGCGGAAAATTATGTTTATTAAATCTTGTAAACCAATATTTAAACCAGGCCTTATTAGTTGCATTTGCACCACAAAATCAGTGACATGGCTCGTAGAATTAACTCAAGGATCTTGAGGTCTATGTGACTACAATAAATTCCACAACAAACCTTCATAAAGCTGCTGCTCAATACATAGAAGTCCCCAAATATATGTGCTTTGTTAGACTGCAAAAAAAAAAAAAAATTTATCAAATTGAGACTCGACAGAGCAAAGCGCAAATTAATAAGGTAGCTAGTATCACCTTAAGAGCCAATTGTACAGATTGACAGAGGAACAACATTTTAGATGCATCTTGAGGTGTAAAAGATGAGGGCAATAAGGAAAGAGAATCACTCCTGCAACATTTTCATGTCAGTAAGGATTTGATGCATTGAAAAAATATCGAATGTGTAACTAACTACAACTTTTGTAAACAATGTAAAGGGATTCCTTGAACTGCATGTGTGTGTGTGTGTGTTTGTTTGTGTGTTTTGTAAACAATGTAAAGAGATCTCTTGCACTGTGCGTGAGTGTGCGTGAGTGAGTGAGTGAGTGAGTGAGTGTGTGAGTGAGTGAGTGAGTGAGTGAGTGAGTGAGTGAGTGTGTGTGTGAGTGAGTGTGTGAGTGTGTGAGTGTGTGAGTGTGTGAGAGTGTGTGAGTGTGTGAGAGTGTGTGAGTGTGTGAGTGTGTGAGTGTGTGAGTGTGAGTGTGCGTGCGCGCGCGTGTGTGTGTGTGTGTGTGTGAGAGAGAGAGAGAGAGAGAGAGAGAGAGAGAGAGAGAGAGAGAGAGAGAGAGAGAGAGAGAGAGAGAGAGAGAGAGAGAGCATAGAAGAGAAAGGAGAACGGGAACAGTCATTATCATCCAGTTGCCATAATCATTATCCATATGAAGAAAGTAATGTTAAAATAACAAGGAAACAGCTAGCACGTTAAAGACCCCTTAAAGCTTATCTATGAGCATGTTTTGTAGTCTAATTTGGACTTTTTCCCTGTGCGAACAACTAGGTGATGCAGAAGTAGGAAGAGTGAGGACAAATCAAGGTATTGAATCTGATCAACTTACCAACGTAAAAAGGGATGAAACAGAAACAGAAACAGAAATTGAGGATTGGGGTGGGGCTTATGCTAAGTGTCTTACCAGCTACCACGTTCTAGAGCATCCTCAGTAGCAGCATCTAGCATCTCAATCATTGATGGGTGAACAAATGTTGTAACAAGAGGTTTGCCTTCAGGATATCTGGGACTAAATTAGATTGTGCAAACTTAGGCTTCATTATGAAAACATTTAGTACAGAGTATTTATTTCACAAATATCTATATATGATCCAAATGGTTATTATTTGGATATAGAATCAACATAAGAACAACTTAGTTACCTGCAAGAATTGAACGGGCTGAGGAATTCCAAGTTTTTGCAGAACGTCATAGCTGATAAAAGAATTCTAAAGCACACAAATGCAGCACAACATGAATGGAGCAGTTCAGTAAACAAGTACATTCAAACAAAGCCTATAAAGACAGTTATCTAGCTCAAACCAATGGATCATATGCTATTATTACTAGGTGAAATGTTTGGCATCTTAAGCAAAAGAGAAAAACGATAGAAGAGAGAGTTCATACTTGTGAAAAGAATGAATCCACAGATTCCTTTTGAGCAACAGCAAATACCTATCATGTGACATAAAAACACAATAAACAACTTCAAATAATTAATATGGGAACTAAGTTAATGGCATCAATGCATATGCCACAACAGTTGACTACTAGTACTGCCACTGCCCCCTATAGACACTAACAGTAAAAGGATTATAGAGTTATAAATTAGAGGTGGAGTATAGCAAAAGAATTTGGAAATTATCCCAATTTTTGTCAATCAAACAATTAAACAATAATGTGTAACAAGAAGTGAACAGCTCCAAATGCCTAAATCAAATATGAAAACCATAAAATTCAGGCATCAATTAAAGAAATATCCAATCTATGTCAAATCATGTCACTCACAGCTGGTGTCCAATGCACTCCAGCACGTACAGACCCTGAAATTTCACCTCCCTTCACAAGTCCATAAACAAAGACTGGAAGAAAGATCCATCAACAGCCACACCACTGGCTCCATCCATTTCTTGCAGTAAATTCTGCAACGAGCTCCATAACACTGTCAAATTTGTCGGAACTGTAATGCCCCTAGCAGCACCTCGAACCATGGCACTAACACGAGCAACATAGGCAGGAGTATACAACTGCCCACCTTCAAGCCTTCCTTTAACCTATTCTCAAAACAATCATTTATCAAATCACAATTTCCACTTACCACTCCAAAAACATACCAAAACCAACACAAAACAAAACAAACAAACAAACAAACAAACAAACAAACAAAACTCACTATAGTTCCAAGACGCGGCTCCAACACAGACGCAATCAAATCCAAACCAACATTCAATTGCGCAGCAAGTTCCGTCAAAGCAATCTGAGTACATTCTTGAAGCCTCTCGTTAATCTCTTCCGCAATCGAATCCCAGTAAGATTCCGTAACGATTTCCCCTTGAGTCAACATCAATTCCCCGTGATCAGTTATAATACTCTGAGCCAATTTCTCAACATAGTACAAGTCAACTCCAGTAACATCAGCAAGATCAATCATAGAAATTCGCCCTAATCTGTTCACCTCAGTCACCATCTCATTTCTCAGTTGATCCTATCGACCGTATAAACAAACACTTGATTAAGATCAATTATAACACAATGAATTAGGTTAAAAGCAAGAAAATACAATCGATTATCAAGAATCAAATCCGTTAAACCTAATTGCAAAAAATAATAAAAGACGAAGCAAAGAGCGTACGAGAGTGATGTACTCTTTGCCGGAAGCAGTGTGAAGAAGCTCGAAATCGATGACTTGAAGTTGCTGCAATTTCTGGACTAATTCAACGACGTTTCGATCGGATAATCGAATACTGGACTTCGCTTGTTGAGCGAACTCGAACTGTCTCTGCAACTCGAGCAATTCGTCGTCCATGTTTCGATCTTCACGGAAGCGGTGAAATTTGCAATGCCTTTAACTTTTGATCTTTCGCGATTTCTAATACTGTTGCGTGTTTTGATGATCCCTGAAAATGATGCGTCGTTCTTCAGTTTTTGGGACTATAGTGAAATAGCGAAGCGTTTTTCAGCCGTTTCTTCGCCCTTGATTGTTTCTTGCTCAATAAACAGTTAAATTTCTGAAAAGTATGTCATGTTTTTTATTTTTTTTATTAAAATTGGTTTTTTATACATTTTTTAACCATGTTTTACCTTGTTGATATAACTTGTTGAAAAGATATTTTTGTAGAAAACAACGTTAAATAAAAAATTATTAGTTTTTTTACTTTTAAAAATATCTTTCACAAAAATATATTTGATTTTTATGTTAAAATTTATAACAAGAAACCACACAGCACACATTCTTTCAAGTATGAGTAGTGTAAGGGTGAAGTATTTTCATAATATATATCAAGAAATTAGACATGTATTTGACTTTTTAAACATGACTTGGGTAAGGGTGAAGTGTTTTCAGCGAAGTGATTTCATAAGGCATATTAATAAATCAATGTACACGACGCCCCAAGCATGAGCCATGTAAGGGTGGAGTGTTTTCATAAAGTATGTCAAGAAACTTAACATGTACACAGTCTCCCAAAGATGAGTTGTATAATTGGAAAGGGCTTTCATAAGTATATCAAGAAATCAAGCATATATATAACCACTCAAAGATGAGTAGTGTATGAGCGAAGTGCTTTCATGAGTGAAATTTTGTTATTCGTATGAAAGATGTTAGACACAATGTTTGTGACGATGTGTATAACATTCTTATAACAGATTAATATATACTAAATAAATCATAAAGCAATAAAGAACACAAAGAATTATTATTAACCTAGTTCGGTGCAACGTCACCTATATTTGGGGGGACTTCTAATCCAAGAAAGGAAATTCACTCTCAATAGTATTAGTATAAATAGTCTTAGATTAACAACCTTTGTTAATGTCTCTCTTCTTAATACTACATGTGACTTTCTATTTAAGACTCCTCCTAAATATGAGAACCTCTCTCATTTTCTCTCAATCACTAACTTTGGTGATCAGTACGTAAAACGAATTTAAAGAATGTTGAATTATGTTCTGGACTGACCCGACATCTAGAATGGACTCAGTCTAACCCTTTCTTTCGGTAAGGCCTGCACGTCCATGGCCCGAACCGCCCCGCTCCCCGTCAGGAAATATCGATCATTTACCCTCCTAAGCCAGCACTGGCCTAGGATGATCGATGAGTACCCCTCAGTCTGCCCGACATCAAGTCGTACAGGTCACTAGGAACCGACCAGAGAGATGCCTGTAACTTGCCTCCTCCTCAGAACCAACGACTAGTTACGAGCATATCTTCTCGGTTTGACCAAGTCCTGACAGTTACCTGATTTTGTGAACCCACATATCCAAGCGCAAAAACAGGAACCAATAGTCATACGCCAGGGGTATATTATATGCTCTCACACTTGTGAGGGCCAGATATCAAATATTCACTATTCACTACCAATATCTTAACACTTTGCTTGTATCTCTTTGTTCTCACTCTTACTTGATCGTCGGAGTGCCTTGCACGTACAACCCTTTTTTTCCTCCTTGACATCACAGCCCGACTACAGATCATCATTCGACCGCTTCGCATATTCTGATCAACCGGTAAAATCAGTGACACCATCTGTGGGAAACTGCTCTCCCCATATTTATTTCCTCAAAACTCAAAGATCAAAGTGTTGTACCCCAAAATTTACCCTCTTTTCATACACGTATATTATTGATTTTATGGTTATGAAATAAAGGTATATTTATCAAGCTTCTTCAGGTTACAAGTGACGTTTATTTCGTCAATGGATATTCTCAGAGTATTTTCTGTGTTGAAGATCGGTTCGCCGTTTTGCAACGATTCGGGGTTCAAAGATTCACAAGTCCAACCCGGCGCGTCATATTCAGGTGTTCTTTCACCAAGATATCTCTGATAACATATTCTCAAATTCAGGTTCGGCTCAAGAGTCAATTCTTTAAAAAAGGTATCCGAATGTGTGAGTTTTCTCGAAGAAATATGGTGAAAAAGTGTGTTAAAAGTGCAGTTTTTACGCGTTAAAAAATTCATAACTTGAAGATCGCGACTCGTTTTGAACCCGTTCCAGTGGCTAAAATTCCGTATTAACGTCATCTATGTTTTCATCTCTCACGGCTGGAAGTCAATTTCGATCAGAAGGTCTTCAAAAATGCGGATTTATTAAGTATTTTCGTACAGAAAATTTGTGACAGAAATTTAATTGCGTCATGTTCAGAAAATCATAACTTGGTCGATTTTCATCGTATCAAGCTGGTTCCAGCGCCAAAATTTCATAAATTGAGTTGGCTAAGTTTTCACAGAAGGTATCGAGTTCGAACGATATCCAAAAGGTCTTTATTTTTTGCTTAGAGTACGCGTGACGCGCCGAAAATCCTGAATGCTGAATATTATTTTATCTGGGTCGAAACTTCAAAAATTCATAACTCGGTCAACTTTTATCGGATTGGGCCCATCTTTTTACACAAGGTCACTGACTCAGAGATCTACAACTTTGCTTCAAAAGTAGAGACCGAATTATGCTCCAATCAATACCAGTTTTTTATTGAAGAACGTGTCAGAGTCGACACTGGAGCCCAAAATAAGTTTGTCTGAGCTGAAATTTCAAAAATTCATAACTAATTCACCGTTTATCCGATTGAGCCCATTTTCGGACATGAGTTAGTTCTCGATGTCGGCTACATTTTTTTTTTCATATTTCAACTTCAAAAATTGCACTTAAGCCCCTGCGATTTTGCCTAGAATGTGACAGACTCAAGTGGACATTTGAGGCTCAATTACACATTTAAAGCTCATTTTTTGCTCTCTAATTTCTATTATATAAGCCCATTCTTTTCACACAAACAAGGAGGAGAAAAAAATTAACCTTTGCCACAATGCTGTCAGAATATCAAATTCTTTCAGGAATCCTAAAAACCTTGAAATCCTTATTACAAATCCCCCTCTCACTACAAAAAAGCCATCCCGGTTACAAACCAACATTTCACTACTTCTCCAGTAAGGGTAAGGCTGGCTTGATCTCCATGATCAAAAGGGCATAAAAGCATTCATATCACTACTTCTCCGGTAAGGGTAAGGCTGATTTGATCTCCATGATCAAAAGGGTATAATCATTCATACATGCCATATCGGTTTTAATGTGTTCATAATATATAATGTGTATTTGTATTTCATAATATATAATAATTTATTTAATGTGTTCATGAGATTCAACACTGCATATTTAGACTGGATCCCATGCAGGTTCATTAAGGAACGTTGAGGCCAAAACACAAATGGGCAAAAGCCAAAACACAAATGGTCAAAACAGAACAGCTTACACATGACACCAATACATGGCGAGGCAGACATCCTGAGAAGGTTAAGGGCGTGGGTTCAACAACCACCCCTATTGATTTTGATTTTCTTCCTTTCTATTTGTCCGTTTACCTGATTTTATTCTTTCTATTTAAAATCTTTTTTTCATAAAACTTAATATTTTTCACAAATCTTTGATTTTTTTATAATAAACTCAAATAATTAATTTTAGGTTTTAATTTAATTTTAGGTAACTTTAATTGTTTTATAAATAAATTAAAATTAATTAGAACAATTAGGATTTTGTTTCTAACTTAATTCTATTTTCTTTTTTCTTAAAATAACAAAACACAAATTAGGCCTAGATCTTATTTTTATTAAAAATAAATTAATTAATTTAATTAGGTTTATTAATTTAGACAATTTGAATTCCTTTTGCAAATAATTAAAATTAATTAGAATAAATAGGTTTTTATTACTAACTTAATTATTTTATTTCTTTTCTAAAATTACAAAAAAAACAAAGATATGTCATGTAATTATTTTTATTAATTAATTTGATTAACTAATTAATTGCACATTTTAATTTAGAAAACTCATTTCTTTTATTAAAAACAACAAAAAACAATTTTCTCTTTTAATTAGGATAGAAGGGTCAAAACCCTAAGTTCTCGTTGAGCTAATTTTCATCGCGCGCTTTATTATTGCTTTTATCCCAATTATTGTATCTGCTCACAGTTTGTAATAATTTTAATTAGGACTTTTATTTTTATCGCTTTACTTTTCAAAAGGTTTGTTTTTGGCGATGTAAATACCCGACGCCTTGTAATTTAATTTCCGCACCTTTAATTTCTGCAAATTATAACTGTTAGATGTTTGATAATAGGGTTTGCATGACAAGATTGAATGCCTAATCTTAAAATCAAATTAGATCACCTTTAACATGTGTGTTGTACCCCAAAATTTGCCCTCCCATATTCATCAAGAAATTGCCAAGTCAAGGTCACAAAATTCCCCCAGGGTTGTGCAGCTCAACTGTCTCCTATACAGTCAAAACTAGGGTTTGAGTTCTGGTCAAGCAAATGAACTTTTCAAAGGCCCAATCAAGTCTCATATGCTTACAAATGTGGTCAAACATCCTCATGTCAAGTTTCAAGGCAATCAGCTCAAAATTGCACAGTCAAAACCCTAAATTGCACTACAGTCAACTGTAGGGGCAAAATGGTCATTTGACAGTCAAAAGTTCAAATTTTTGGTCAATATATCATTTTGAAGCCACAAACATCATTTGATCAATGCTTGATCATGATTCTCAAAATTTGGCTCAGAAATCATCCAAGATGCAAAAGTTGCTATATTTGGACAGCTGAAAAAGTCAACTGAAATTGACCAAGGCATAACTTTCACATGGATTATCAGAAAATTTCCATCCAAAGCTCATTTTGAAGAGAAAGACATTTCCTACAATTCATCTTCATGTTCCAAGTCCAAGAAATGCTCTCACAAAAAGTTATCAATTTCAACATTATAGGTCATTTTCAAAAGTCAACAAAAAGTGACTTTAAGTCAAAGGCCATAACTTGAGA